TATGTTAACTTACTGTTTCCCGCCCCACTGTGTATATGCAACATATTTACTTGTAACATATTTATTTATTTTTTTTAGTTTTGACACGAATCTGAATAGGTATTTTATTATTGAAAGATTTTTAATTGCTAGGTACGTCCCGTTATAATATTAAACTATTAACTCGTACGGAGCTGGTAAAATTTCGAAATAAATTTAATACAGTTGGCCTCGTTAATTGTAACCATTTAAACGCGAGAGTACATAATTTTGTTTTTTTTATTATTAAATGTTTTCCAAGTAATTAATTAATAATGTATCTTTTTTTAATCTTATCCCATTCAAAAATGATAGGTCCGTCAAATTTTCTCTCTTCACGTTAATGTACGGATAAGAATGTAAATAAGGCACAGTCAAGTTGTTCAATGCAAAAACAAAACTGATCAAATTGTTTAAAAATTAAATAAATATTAAGAATTAAAATATTTAGATTAGGCCAATAAAAATTATATAATGATAAATTAAAAAAAAAATAAGAATGAAAAATCGACTTGTATTAATTTTACACTATTATAAGACTAATATTATTATATAAATGTCGATATCCGTATTTAAAAATTGTAAAAAGTAGTTTGTTAATCATATTTTAAAATCAACCGTGATTAACCGACCAAAAACAAATTCAACCATAAAATGTTGATTTGTTATTTATTTTAAACAAAATGAATCGAGAAAATTTGCATTTAAACGTTGACGAAAATATTCGAACAATCATCGTTTTCAATGGAATTTTGTTTGCTATGGCCTATGGTCAATCCATAATATTATTATCGCCATTAGAGCTTCAGGTGTTAAATACAACAGCGCACTATATTTTCACAGTTTTACCTACGCACCGACTAGACGTATCACATATAATGCAACATTGACACTTTAGCCGCGAGGCATTCACGCTTGTGTATACACACTATTTACATATTTGATACTATCATATAAAAGTCTTCCATAAAGTCTTTAGTGCATACAAAAAAAAATAATCGAGTGCCAGAGAATTGCATAATAATAAATTAAACAAAACTTGATTCGCTACAGCTAGAGTACACTTATACGTTTTAGATATGAGCAATAAGTTTGATTGTCTGTAAATCAGTACTTAAAAATGTCAAACGACATGTTTGACTAAACAATCCTTCAGAACAGTAGCACAAGTTTACATACCATCTCTTTCGTGTTGTTGTAGATATCAACCCGAGGCTAGTGTGCATAACATGTAATTTGGTAAAAATAATGAAACTTGTCTTTATTGAAAACCAGTAGCGATACACAATTCATCCAAGCTAGCCGAGGATTAATAATTAATCTTTCGAACGTGTTATCCGTTCACCAGATCTCTAACATTCTATACCCACTTGCTTATGTCGTCGAGACGCAAAAACAACAAATTATCGCAGACAATTTGGCGGTTAAAAAAAAAAAAAATTGTTTAGTCACAGAAATGACAAGATTATTGAACCATGTTGTGGAAAGGTAATATTCGGACGATGATAAATGCACCTGTAACACACATTTATTTGTGGCCAGTTATAAAACAATAATAACAGGTGTCGTTGCGCATGTTAAACGATATCCGAAAACGTGAGTCATTGGCGAATATTATCGCGCACGTTCGCGTGAGTCACAAGAGGAGAACTCTTTCTCGATTATACCGCAGAATTGTTGCTGGCTGATTTAACAACGTGCTTCCAACACAGAAACTACGTAGAAGAACATCTGATACCTTTTTGACATTCCAGAGTCCTATCCGGATCCTTCGTTCTTTGTAATTTGAACAATGGAAAATATTAATCATCCTTAATCAGAATTTGAATTGGGTTTTTTACTTTTTCAATGTTATGTTTTGATTTATTTACAAACAATATTAGAAAATACTGCTGAATACATCGCCAAGACAAGTTAAAACAATACACACGGGGTACTTGTTTGTAAACTGAAAAATGTGCATATAATATAAACCAAAGGTAGTCTATTACTATTTTTAAACGGAGAGAAAACTGGCGTACTTATGAATTTCCGGCCGATGAATTAAGGATTGTCCTATTGGATAGCGAGTATCGAATTAAACCCGCTGCTCCTCGTAATGTGCAGTTTCAAAAAAAAAAAAAAATTAACGAGTAGACACCTAATAACAAACATAGTTACTCGTTTAGATCTACCAAATCAGAAGTAATGGCTGATTCATTTTTCTTTGCAGCAAATTCCGCTAACCGTTGTGTGGACCAGACTGGCTTATATTTTACATTAGTTTAGGTTAAATCAAACTAGACTGAAGAGTGGATGAATAGTAGATGATGGTGCACGTCGGATTGTGGTGACCAAGATAACATTACCGACTTTTGTTATGAATTAGGAAATTAAATTTAGTCAACTGCCTATTTTGTAAAAATGTACAGACTGCTTATAATCGACATAATATGTAAGGTATACAAAATATTTAGAATGTTTTGATTTTACTTTTTTGTTTTTTTTTTGGTAGTCGCTGACCTTCTCACGTTAATATGATATTGTATTGTTTCCGTGTAGGGTATTAGTATTTGACATTAACATCATGCCTAATGTCACGGATGGCATTAAACGTTAAACTCGGGCGATTTTATTTTATTATTAACTAACAGATTTATTTTAATCGACTTGACAATGTTGTATTATGATAATATTATCTCAGTGGTGAAATTTCACCACAGGCAATCCCGTTTTTCGACGTTGAATCACTGATTAATCACAACAAAATGATTCACCGACAAATTATTGACAACGATAATTATTATTATGTGTGGTATCCCATTAGACAGAGAATCACCTAGCTTGGCCTGCAGTAAATATTATTGTGAGAGTATAAAAAATTTGAATAAGAACAGCTGTTGTTTTTTTTTTTGTACTTAATTTGTGTTAATTGAACTTGAAATGGTCATTATTTTTGAATTTACCTAATTAAAAGTGTTTTTAATTAATAAATACTAGAATAAAAAAAAGTAGAATTAATTATTTTATTATCTCAGATTGGTTGTGCATTTCCATTAGACAACTGAATACGACCCAACAAGATACAACGTAGTGTTATACAGGTGTTTTGTAGATGATTGACCCTCGACGACCTAGTTATTATCTAAAATCGGTTTTGAGGTTTTCCCTTTTTGTCCAATACGTTATGATACGCAAAAAGAAACCATAGATTACATTTCTTTTGTTTGATCAAATTCTTTTGTTTAATTTCACGTTTTTTTATACTTGCACGGCGGCCAGTAATGTTTTTGCCAAGTGTAAACTATATAATAATATTATCAACGTTCCGATTATTATAAAGACTACTATAGACCGTCACACAAAATGCACTCTTCACACCTATTCATTGTGTTGATCTATGTGTGTGTGTGTGTGTGGAGTATAATATAAATACGTATGTAAAAGATAATAGTTATTTAGATATGCCTCGCCTCATCGCGAAAACTATGGGTTAATGTTTTTTAATGCATTGTTTTTTTCTTATTAAATTAAAAAAAAACAATGTGTACCTTATGACTTTGTAAATTATATTTTGGTGTTAATTATAAAACTACAAAAACGCATGCTTTTCAATTGCAGTGCTCGGTGCACTTAAATAAATTATAACACTATTTTTAAGTATAATTTTGTCATTTTAAAATGCAGTCAACCGTAACATTAGCGCTTAAACATTTGGACAAATATACGGTGTATTAAATTAATAACTAAACTACTCACTATCAAAACTTTGGTTGATTGCGATTTATCTGTCGTGTAATAGTTATTTTGTTATCAAATGAAAATTATTCAGTGGTCGCTATACACAAAAATATTTTAATATAGGTTATAACCATTTCCAGATAACATAATATTTATAGCTACCGCGTATTTACCCAGTAGTCTCAGATAAAACGATCCGGTACTTGAGCAATATTTACATTTAAATATGTAGTACGTTTTTAAAATTCCCAAGTAATTAAAAACCTAATTTAACCGCAAAAATAACGTAGTGGCCTAATTTTTATTAGAAAATAACCTAAAGAGATACAGATTTCAAATTTATACTATGCACTAATGCAATAAAAATACTTGAAATTAAATCTTAACTACTACTACATTCAATGTCACAGGACTTTTGATGCATGCTATAGGTACATAATAATAGGTGCAGATTATCTCAAAAACAGTTGTTGTATTCATTTTACTCTCAAAATTACACACATTTCTTTAAAATTAAACTAAAACTAGAAGACAATATATTTTTACAATTTCATCAAATAATGATTTTGAGCCTTGTACACTGCGCCCTGACCAGTCATTCTCAGCGGTTAATAATAATTATTAAAAATTAATTTATCGGTACAAAATTTGACAGTGCATCATCTGATCGCCCGAAGAATACAAATATTTGTAAGTATTCATTTTAAAAAAGCCGACTTCGGTAAAATGTGCTTTAATATTTTTTTAGAATTGTAAAAATCGAATGTTGCAACCTTAAGATAAACATTTAACATTTCAATACGAATCTTTGATCTTGCCTTGCAACATCACAAACGAGCAAATAATAACATAGAAGACGTCAAATAGAAATCAAACAAACAACAACCTGTTTTTTACCTAAATATTGTATTTCACTCACTCGTGGTCTGTGTGTTATGGTGTATTTATTATAATATAATATAACGTATACTACATAGTAAATCTTATACAAACAGTAAACATCAGTTGGGTGTTAATCTTATTCCCCATAACCATATGGTCAAAATCGAAAACTGGTTTCCAATCGCGGATAAAAACGTGTTTTACTACCCCTTCATAAATTCCAATTACCATTTCTTTTTCAAAAGTATCAGGACTTGGCCTGGTCGTTTCATTCCATATACAAATATGTTTTTAAATTCGTGTCGATAATAATCGAAAGTATTATTTTTTTAACTGTATACAAATTATTAGCTTACAAATTATTATTACATAGTACATACCTATCCAATTCAACAGCGTTTTCGTTGTTTACCTGTGTTGGTATACAACGTTCTGTTCCCGAGGTTCATCGCATTCCACTGTCACTGGGAAAAAAACCGAATTCGTTTGTTTTCACGCAAAATATCACGATAACAACCACCTATGATAAGTTATTGTGGAAAATAATAATACACACCAAGTAAGTTATTGGTACTCGCACGAGTCAAAAAATACTTCGGTACACGGTTCCGTCACTCACGGTCTGTCACTTTACAACTACTGATAAAGAGTCATTAACGAAGGCCAGCCATACACACTGGTTGCTCCCACCACCACCACTGCAGTACAGCACCGCAACAGCACCAGCACGTACAAAAATATTTTTCCACAACTTGTTTTTTTATATATATATATATATATAATATATATATATATACGTATTATTACATTATACTCGTTGCCTTTCCTTGGGGCTCGACGACACCATGTGTATTGGAGGTGCTGGTGGACGCCCTACTCCACATATGACTCGACTCACCCGGCTAATAACGATCGTAACAATAATAATTTATTTAAATCGTTTTACTTTCATTCCACGAAGTTACCATAACGGTGCAGCCGTGTACTTACCTCGAACGCCTTATTCGTACAGATCGTACTTAATGGCAAATAGCGTAAAACACATATTATTATTTAAGAATAATAATAATATTGACAAACGACGTCCAAGGACTTTCAAGTCTACCGACTGTACGGGTATACGATTACAGACACCCGTCCTTACTGTGCTACTCCATAGGGAAATTTTGTCAATGGACGGTTGTTTTTGGCCCAGTGCTAGCAAAAATAAATCAAAACCAAAAATAACCAGCAGAATTTTTCTGTTCAGAAAATGTTTGGTGTTTACCCAAAAATAATTGGTTTCATTGGGTTTGTGGGTACTTGGAAAAACTTAACTGGGTCATTTAGATAAAAAAAAAATCCTGGTTATTGACAAATCTGTTTTGGTTAACTTGAATGTACTTTTGTCGGTTTGAAGTTAAAATGTATTTAATTTAATTCCATTCCCAAAATCAACAACTTCGGTTCATTGGAACGAGCAATAGCCGTTTTAGCGATTCTCGGAACCGATTGTTGATACTAAAATATATGGAATTTTGATTGGTATTAAATTATACAATTATTTTTCGCTTCTCGTTAATTGAAACGCGTTACTTGTTTGTGTTTCTTCGATACACAAAGTTGGCCTTGAAAAAAAAAAACATTTACAACTTTCCCCTCTTTCTTTTTTGTATTTCTAGTAAATCAAATCGGGTAAATTAGCAAAAGAAAAACTAAAGTTTAACTGCGTATTATTGTATATAATTATGTTTATTTTCGCTATACTATAATGTTTAAAGTACAATAATGTATTTTTTTAAAACGCTAAGTCTAAAGATTAGGGTAAAATATGGTTCAAGACAAAAAAATATCAATAAATAATTTCGCTGAATTTATAAGTTTACCTAGAATTACAATACAAACTGTTTTGAATAGGTAAACATGCGCCACGTTTATAAGTACATGATTTGTGTTAGTAAATAAGTAACATTTAAACCATATAGTCTTTAAATTGTTTTGTAAAATGTGAAGTACAAAGCTTATTTCCTAGAAGGATAAAATATAAACAATATAATTTTACATTAATAGTAATTAAATTTACCGCACTTAACTCTAATTATCTCCTTAGACATATTAATTAAAAATACTTACTAAATTTATATAATAATTTTACAATATCCAATTATTGTCTTAAGTTCAGTTTCAAACCGTATGTTTATTTAATACAAATAAATAGTATGAGATAATATATAGATTTGTAAAAAAAAAAGTGTTCATAGTATATAAATAAAAAATGTATATTAATAATATAACGTATGGTATATTCAATTAGGTATTATGGTTAAGACTAATAACTAAAGTATACTTATTAATATATTCTTAACACTTAAACAAAATTATTGTCTTTGTTTACAAGAAATTCAAGCCTTAATATGTATTGTAAGGTCACAGTAAACGTTAAAAAAACACTTACATAATATACTAATCTTAATAGCGAAAATTATTGTCGCAGAAAACACAGATCGTTTTATTTTTGTTCACACGTTGATCGAACATGTCTTATTTTCTAATTATTAGAAATTCGGACGACCGGCAAGCACATTTTTTTCTTTACCTCTGGTAAATTACTAAATCCCAGCTCTATATTTTTTTGTTCTACAGTTTTTCATGACAACTTAAAATAAGAATATATCCCTTTTTTATTTTAGTTATTCTTAACGAAAAACTATTAACACAAGTACACAATAGGTTTTTAAAATGTTTAACCGAAAACGATTACATCTTATCAAACTTTTTATCTTGCATATATATATTATTTATGTATGTATTATATACTTGCATGACGTCCGTTTTTCCTATTACTGGTAAAATTAGTGAGAGTATTTACATTTTATTAAATACTTAAAAATACACTTCTATAAAACAGTAATACATATATATATTCTAAAATGCATCGTTGTTGTATTTTTATTGTAACAAAAAAAGTATTTTACAAAAAAGATATCGTTTGGAAATTTATTCGTTTAAAGCTCTGAAATTGTTAATGAATTCAACAAACAAAACATTATATATATATTTTATTTTGTTTTTTTAATATCTAAAAACGAAAATAACCGCTTGAATTGATATTTATTAGTTACTCTATAACTCATTTAATAACGATTGTTAGGATGAAATTTGTAAAAAGAAAATCTAGTAATTTAGCAATGAAAAATAAATTAATAGGCAAAGATGGTTTTGCTTATCAAAAAATGCTTACCAACTCATTTCTTTGCAATATAACTGCACAACATAAAAGCTTTAACTTAAACAAAATAAGAATAAAAAACAAAATATTGTATAAACATAAAATTAACAAATCAAATCATTCAACGATCGTAATACAACAACGTTACTTATAAAACATGTAATTTTATACATTTAATTAGTTTTTTAAAAATATCATACAAAACACTTAACATTAAAAATAACCACGAAGAATATTTAAATATTATTGTCATTAGTTTTACTATCGTTGCCTTAAATCTATACGTCTTAAATTAAAATATATTATTGTCATTATTTTCATTAACATTCATTTATTTGTATTCCATTAAAAAAACGAATGTTTCCAATGAGTAATTATTGTCGGTTATATCATTAAAACTATTTTAAAAATACAATCTTTTTATTATTTGAGCAATTTGCAATTCCGTCAAAACTAAAATCAACAATATTAGTATACTATATATCTCTTGTTAATATCATGATGTTTAAAAATTTGGTACAGAGGTTAATTGCTGACATCAAATAGAAGTTCACGGTAAAAAACAGTGTTTAAAAAATTTTAATTGCATAATCACTTGGTTGGTATAATGAAAGGTATACTTGTTCATTATCTTGATGATTTTTTAGGAATATATAATTTATTTTATATTATATTCGATATACTTTTGTACTACTCAAATTAATTATGGGTATAAAATCGCTATTCAGACTAACAATTTTAACTGAAAACTTAGAAACTTTAGTTTTTTTTAAGGGGATTGAAAGCCAACGGGTTTTAAGGAGTTTTATAATGGCAATAGTTTTGTATCAGTGTTTTAAATTGTATTTTAACGTTAAGGTATCTATAAAATTTAAATTTATAACAAATACTTTTATATAGTATTGGATAAAATAATTTAACGACAAAGTGTGTTTTCAAAATATACTTATTTAAAAAATCAACGAGATAATGTTTGCTGACATTGGTTTTAATCTTGTTTATGAAATTTAAATCTCGTTTATCCATTTAATGAGCATAAACAAATTATCTTGTATAATATATTATCATATCTATATTTACGGTAAGGTAACGATTGTTTACAAGTTGTTTAAATATTTTTAGTTTTGACGGTGACTTGGTACAATTACGTATTACGTTGACGTCTAAAAGACCACAATGGTTTTCACGGACTTAAGTTTTTTTAAATTTTGCGCGTTGGTTTTGAATAGTATATCTTATGATCATATGGATTCGTTTTACTTGTTTAACATACTTAACGCTAGTTTATTATCTAAGCTTACCACTTAACATGCATATTTCTTAACACACGAATAGTGCTTTTATTCATAAGACTTAATTTACTATGTGCCATAACACCTTAAATATTTTTTACACAATATTATGATATGTTTTGTTTTTACTTGATATTCTTAATGTTGGGTATAGAACCTTAATTTTGTTTTTCAAGCAATGTGTTTCTGAAAGCCAGCATAGCAATATTATGTGCTTGTGATTTTACGCTATCTTTGAGAAAAAATCCATAATTTTTTTAGAGGAAAAAACTGAAAACTATTATTTTTAATTTTTATATTTACTGCTTTTATTTAAAAAATATCGGGTTGGCTAATATGTTAGTTAGCCAAAATTAAAACTCGTGTGTTTTAAATTAAGTTTATTTTATTTATTATTTTTTTTTTTGCATAAATTAACAAAAAGTGACTTTATTTGAATAAAATGTTTTACAGTAGGATGGTAATTGTAGAACTTAAATTTTCCTCAAACAAGCCTATGCTGGTCTCGTTACACAAACCAAATTAATCGATATACGGTTCATTAAGCCATTATAATATCAATTAAAAATTTAACGATGGTAGAAACTACTCGGAAATGATGACTAAAATATATATTTGCACAACAGCCGAGAATTGTTGGCAACATTTAAAACTGAAAACAGACATTTATTTATTTTAAGGAATTTTTTACTGATAGGTTTTTTTTGTTAACTGTTTGGAAATATTAATCCTTTTAATTATTTTTTGGTTTATTTCTTTAATTGTGTATTGTATTGTTATTTTTTTTTAAGAAATGAACATTCGTTTTGCATCATTGACATGAACTTCATCACAGCAAATTAAGTCTGTTCATCTGGTCGATAAGAAATATGCATATCAGTGGTAGGTTACTGATAATAATATTAACATTATTAATTAGTCCGGAGGCTGCGTTTTTGTCATCGTTCCACTTATAACCGGCGTCGACCACGTGGATTTTCCAGCCGACATTTGCCTGAGAATAGCTCTAAAATAATAATTTAATATGATTAACAAGATGCTCTTTGCTGTTCTGGAAAATATATTTACTACACCCGATCATTTTTAACTCTATCAGTGACATAATAAGTATTGTTTTCTAACAATTATAAATAAATCTTTAGACAGTTTTAGAAAATACATATTCAATTATAAGGATTAATGAATCTATAGGGAAAACGCATAGTTTTTAACAGAAATTTTGTGGTATATTTCAAGTATTTCAATGGATTGTTAACATTGTGTTTAAAAAGTGTTTCTATTGATAATAATTTTGTTTTTAACTTCCAAATATTCTAATATTCTAATATCAATTATGATCACTGTTATTGTACGTGGGTGGTACTTATTGAGTGTGTCCCAGCGGCCTCTATTCTATTACGCGTAGTTTTCAGATGTCAATGAACAATAAACGTGTAGAGATGAATTTATTTCAATTTGTGCGATAGTACGTTCCCACGTACACAATTGTTATTTTAAATTTTATATGAATTAATCACTTTAAAACATAGCCGAGACAATTTTGAAGACGACACAAAATGAAATACCATGACTCAATATAAATAAAACGTTTTAATCGACAACAATAATACAAATGTTGTAAGTATGTGCTAGCGGATTATTGATAAAAGGCTTTGACTGTATTTAGATTTTAATAGTTTCTTATATACTTATGATACCGTTTGAAATGTATCCAAATTCAATAAATAAAAGTTTTAGTAAGTTAATTAGCGAGAATTGAAAACTTAAATAATTAATTTAATTTTTTTAAATTTGTATTTTGTATCTTTCCGACAAGCTATTTTTAATGAGTTTAAAATCAACTATCTATGTCTTATAGTTTATTAAAAAATTAAAAATTAAATGTTATAAGATTGTAACATGCTGACTTTTTTCAAATTCAAATCATTATACCGCTTAGGTTACAATCCGATCTACATGTATATTATCTTATATTAAAGCAAGACAAATATCTATCGTCTCATTTTTAGTATGTAGCATTTTGTTTATGTTCCTATTCCCAACAAGCTCTTAAAGTTACAGAGGTTCGATTTGTCTTCATTTCAATTACCATAGTTACTAATTGATTTTTTTAAATCATTTTAATTTATTAAATGTAAAATTTGTTTCCTATTAAATGAGTATAGTCAGTTTTTTAGAATATCTTTTCAACTTACAATATATATTTTTTATTACTCATACATTACCAATAAACGTTTATTTTAAGGAGTCGCGTATAGGCAATTTTTTAACAAAATTGCTTAGAAACGTATTTTGATTTGTTGTTTATGTGTAAAAATTCCAAAATGATTTTTACTTCTTTTAAGTTAATTATATATTACGAAACTAATCAAATATCTATTTTTCAAGGGTTTTAAAATAGTACCATCTCTCTTTTTTTTGTAAATTAGAATTTCAGTGGTTCTACCACTTAGTTTGAACTTTGAGAGTGATTTTCTTTTCAACTTTTCTATATTTTAAAATTTTATAATTTATTGAATACATATATATATATATATATATATATATATATATATCATTGAGAGTTATCTGCCATCTGGTAATTACTAATATTAGGTACCTGATAGTATACAGTGTCTGGCGTTTCTTCAGCAACTGTCCAGTTTAGCACGCCAACTGCGCCTTCTTCGCAAGACAGTTTCAACGAGTCGAAAAACGCATTGAACGTTTCCATTTCGGACGAACGGTCGTACGACCTAAACTTATACTCGCAATACCGACCGGCTAAAACACATTACAATGCACGTTTTGGATAATTATAAAAGTGTTTGGGGTCCACACTACAGATCTGTCTTATACAATTACTGTCATACACACCTGCAGGTGCCAACGGATACCCTTCGGAATCGTAGTGGATCCCAGCAAACACCCTTTGCTTTTTCTGTTCCGAATCGTCAATATCTCCAAAGCCCCCTTCAGGGTTGTCCGTAATGTAAAACGGGTGATAGTGTCCTGGTTTATTCGGCTTGTCCCCTAATCATATAAAAAACGACCTTTAATTTTATCCACATCAACTTATATTCTACACTAATGTGAATAATGACAAAAGGACAATGACTAATGGCCACCGAAAGTACACTCATTTCTAATAGTAACACGATATTCATAGATTAGTCGAGATAATAACAATACTATGCGGATATAACTTCCGTATAGTAATCGATCAATAAGTGTGATATAATTTTTTTTAGTGGAGTCATCGAACGTATAAACTATTCCAACTACATTTGCATGTTTTAGCGTCCTATAAAGATTGATTAAATCGCAAAAATAAATGTATGCCATTTTAAGCTCGTTAGGATGATCAGCCACAAAGGTAGGGAGCCGCACGTTAAGAGCATTTGAAGCTCTCTCATACTTGTTTGAAGTATGATTTATGGTTTTGTACTTTAATGTCACTTATTATTGCAATGCAAATTTAAACTAATAAATTTACAATATTATAGTGTATATTTACTAATATAGTGTAGGTATATCTACTACTTATTAAGTGACAACGTTAATCATTAAATAAGAAAAATAATACCTACCTCCTTCGATGTAGAAAGTGTATGTTTGTTTTCTCTCCACGTAAATTTCTGGAATTAGCTTGTCGTTAATGTACCAGACAACGTCGCCGGTAGGAACGCCTAAATCAATTTTAGTAATAGTAATTCAAATGTTTAAAGTTGCATTAGGGGTGAGGGTTAAAAAATTAGAGATGTTACAAAAATCGTCTTTTAATAATTGCTTATTTTATAGTTACAGTTGTAGATATTTATATCTAAATAAAACATATTTGCTAAAAAATACACTAAAAAGTCAAAACTAAATAAAAAAAATAGTACCGTTATCTTTTTTGTAAATACAAATTTTCGAAACTCTACTCCTAGTTACATTATGAGAACTGATGTTAATTAAAAATTACTTGACGTACCTGTAATACCCATGTAACCCCTAACACCACCGGAAGGCCCTAGCCTGGCGGTAAACTTGTGTTCACCGATAATAACATTCGGAGGCCACGGCGATAATGACATTTCGTCGTCCATATTGAATAGGGACATGGCACATGTATAATCGTCTTTAGAGTTGAAATTTATTCGTATTTCCTCTGAAAAACAAACAATAATTATTAATTATAATTACAGCCAAATAATAATTGTTTTTTGTCTGATACAATTAGCTAAATCATTAGGTATATCAAATTGCAATTTTGTGTCTTTCGGTATCAGATTAATAAACAAGTAATAATAAACGAAATTATATATAATGTAAAAATGCAAGACGAAAAATAATTTTCACTTCTAAAAGATAAAGAAACTACATCAATCACTGTTACAAGTTAATTGGTGAAGAAATAAAAATAAATCAATAACTCGCACAACTTTTGTCGAGTTTCCTGACATCGTGGACATTATTTGCATATCTTTTAAAAGAACGCATATCGCTATGTATAACGTTACTAAAAAAGAACGAAATCTTATTATGCAAACACTTTTTCTTAATAACACGCAGAAATGATTAACGCAAGTATAAAACATTCCGTAAAACGTTTGAAATTATCTTACAAAAGTCCATACTGAGTATAAGTCTCATGATCATAATAACACAATATCAAAGTACTCCTTGAATAATTAAATATTATATTTTATCCAAGTAGGAATTAGCATTAATATCATTATAGTTATATTAAGTTTTCACACTATAATTGTTTCAATGGTTATAATCAATAGATAGAAAATCCATAAGATGTCATTGCAATGTTTCATTTCAAAGGGTAATCCTTCGTGCCTCACAATGTTGTCTTTACCTTATCCCACTCGAGTTGGATCGATCGCCCAAGCCCCTCTAGAGGCGAGGCCCTCTACTTTTCTCTATCCTACCCAATTTAATCCACTTCAAAAACCCCCGTATTTCCCTTAATAGCATTTTCCCACTTCTTTGATGTTTCCCTCCAGCCCTCCCATTTGGTCTTCTTTAAACTCTCATCCCTTTTCAATACCTATTTTCATTATTTTGTCCCTTTCATTCAACACATATTATAATGCGTAATTGTAATTGGTTTTTTTATTATTAATTGTTTAAATGCGACTAATTTTTTTTTTCAAGATTGAAAATATTCAAGTTTTACCGAAAGTTATATCCTTGGGCGCGTAAGCACTCAGCTGATCCGACTTTCCAAGTGGTCCAATGGCCGCCACAATTAAAGCTGGTGAATCCATCGGCATCGGTTGGTCGTTGATCGCTTCGTTTGTCTGAACTGGTCGACGATACACAACACACGTTATCCCATTCCTTCTGGTGCCTGTTACAAGAACCGCATCGTTCCTACCGCCAAGACGTTCGTCAGGGCACATCCCGCTGTTATCGTCGCATTCCATTGTGGCCGATACGTAATAGTCTTCTGCTTTGAAAGAATTTTTGACCTTGTCGTAAAACACCACCACCACGTCACTGCCCAACAGGGTAACGCTGAAAATCATAATTCATAAGCAAATTTTGTCAACGGGAAGCCCTTTTAATGTTGCCGTCGGATAAGTTGTCACCTATAGCCGATATACCAACCCAAGCGTCTATTATTTTTTTTTTGTACCAAACCCGAATATTTGATACAACAAAATAGTACTTATAATATGTGTACATCGTGGTAACTAAGTACTGAGCTAATAGTGCGCCAGTTTTATATTTCTAAAGAATTAACTAGTTATTCAATTTATGTAAGTTTTTGTTGAACATTTTAAAAGCCAATAAGAGCTGAATGGTCTAATAAAATAAATATATTGTGTAACGTGTTCTGAGAAATTATAACTTGGGTGAAAATAGCAATTTTACAGTAAGATAAAAAAATATGTTAAACTCTTAAAGTTTTCATTTTTGCGCTTTGAAAAAGTTTATAATGCTGCCCATTATAGCATTTGAGCTTAAAAATAAATATACCACAATATATGTTATATTGCGATACATTTGTCGAATATTCAATTTTTAATATTCATCTGTGTCTATGAGTTTAAAAAAAAGCAACGGTGATTACGTCATTTTATTCAGCATCAATTTTTTTGTTAAAAAATATGAAGAGAAACTTAAATAGTAAATTTTCCTTCGGGTATGATTTTTAAAAACGCGTCACACAAATCAACACAAAATAAGCTTTTCCACGTGTTTTGTAGATGTTACTCTAAAGATCTCTTTTCATAATACATAGAATACTACACTGTATTAAAATGTTTCAAAATCTATTCACGATATCTTTGGAATATATATATTTTATACTTTGCTGATACTGACCTGTCCGGATTACCACTAAGGCCAAACGCCATGTACTGATCATCGCGAATTTTGCCAGTCAGTTGCACTTGCACCCAATCGCCTTGGACTTCCCACTGCACTTGTAACCGAGCGGGTAGCAGCTCTCGGCAGTTGTTCATCTCCCAGTGACTTCCCGGATCCGACGTGGTGCTGCTTGTCTTTATATGGATATACAGACACACACACGTTACGCGTATTAATATTAACACTTGTACAACAGTTAAGAAAATTGTAGTAATAAACGTTCTCAGTCGTCGATAACTTAGCTTTGCGCAAAAATGTGGGTTTTTAATTTATCTAACAATCAGACAATGTTAACTCGACGTTACACTAAGTTAGCCCGACTTATCCCTTACTGCTGTATATTTACAATCATAACCAAATATTAAGAACAAAATGTGTTGTTACTCAATATAAATATGGGTATTAAATAAATAAAAGTTAACATAAGTAAACAACTCTTGAGGACGTTTTTCCAACAAAACCGCATAATTATATTTTTTTTTTTGTATAGATTCAAAATTAATAAGTATTATAGGATAACAGTATACTTACAGGGTTGTACCACCACGATGGCTGCAATTCCACGCAAAGCACAAACAATTAAGTATAACAAAACATTAACTGTAATAACTCTTATGTACGACTAATTAAACGTATATTATGTTATAATTAATCTTATATCCAATTATCAACTCTTAATAATAACTTTGTTTAATTATTTTATTCGGTTGTAAGGATTCATCAGTTTTCGTGTAATTATTTTTCTATGGAACTGACTTTCAGAAAAATAATTAGTTTCGAATACATAATGTTTGTCGGTATACGGCGAATAATTATGTATTACACTATTTCAAAGTTGTCCAATGAAGTCGGATTCGTTTAACAAAACGTATTAAATGTTAAAGAAAACATAGGATTTCAATAGAAACGAAACAATACAGTTCTATATAATTATTACAAGACACCGAACAAAAAACTACAACAACATATACAAAATAATGATAAAAAATAATATTAAAAATAAACAATAGTAAAATAAAATAAAAAAATAGAAAAAATATTTTTCTTGTTCAAATTTAGATTCCGTTTCAGTTCCACCGTAGGAACTGAAGGCTGAAAAACCACGGGAAACCGATGCCGAAATGCGGTATTTTTGGCTGTGTGGGTTTACTCACGGTCAGCTTGGTCTGCCCCAACGCCGGTGGCACGTCCAAGTCGTCCGGGATGTTGACATGGCCAAAATTGTGCGTATATTGCACACACCAAACAGCCAGCCAATCGATCGCGTGCACCGTTAGGCTTCCGGGCAATTGGATTTCTATGTCTTCTCCCTGGTAGCCCTTCAATGGTTCCAGACTGGAAATCGCAAAAAAAAAACAGTAAAAATTATATTAAAAAAAAAAAACTCCAAAGACATACTGCGCAGCTTGCGCGTTACCAAGGACTTTAGTTAATCGACGGGCTCGTTGCTAAGAGCATTAACAACTCGGGATATTTCATGTTACAAAAAGTATACACGCAACAATGGAACTGTTCCCAGCGATTTCATTGGCCAACGCGAATCATGTATCATACATGGAAAAGCACAGAGTGTACGAAATGTTCAACGTAAGTATACTCAACTTTTACACATAAGCAATTAAACCCAGATGAAAAAGCAGCATTATTTTTATCAAAGCTCTTTTATAAATTCAACGTCGACTTTTTGTATGGGTTTTTTCCTTCGAATTTACCAAGGACTATTATTCACAATTCTACTAATAATGTTAGACAGCTGACGACCACCGACTCAGTTACAACATCCTTTAAACTCTTACACACTCGAAATTATAACTTTATGGTTAGTTTTCGAACTACATCAAATATTGTGTGCAGCTGTTTAACATATACATTTTATTTTAACGTATCATTTGTTTTTCTACAAGTAAAAACACTGGGAAAAATTTAACAGCAACGTTATATTACTATCGTAAATTGTTGAATGAAGATAAGTTTGAAAAGCTCCATTTACGATTATAAAGAACATTCTTCTTAATAATATTTTTCATAATCGTGGTTCTATTCGAATCTATCGCGATTAACGAACCAGTACAATTATTTTACACAGAATATGGTTAAGATGCTCGTCATCCACCAGCCGGCTGATCATATGAAATTTTTACTGTGGTATTTGAAGAACAAATTACACGTGGATTTACCAAAAATAATATTCATCGCTCCACCGCAATACACGAGTAAGCTACGGGCCGGGGCTAAGTCGAGGACGGGAGTTCAAATATTGACTATTTGATTTCGTTTAGATAAAGTGTACATTGCTCTCAACATAGCCAAAAGCACCGGCGCAATAACCATCGATCGACAGAATGTATTACATAGACACTGGAGGAAAAAAGTAAACGCATACACCGTCTAATCGAAAATGCTCCTAATAACATATATTTCAGGGTACGTGCCCGGAGGACTTCCCAACTATGCTAGTCGATTACATGAAAGCCAAAGGCACTTGGAAAAAGGGATGGATACTCTTGGGTAAATAATAAAATACATATTACCGCTGTATTATTATAATATAGATGCGTATGTGATTTCGGGAGCTAGTAAAAGTTTTTGCGTAGATATACCTAAAAACAAGGACGAAGCCAACAAATTGATCGGAATGGGCATCATACCGACTCATACAATAGTTTTAGAAGGTAAACTATTGTTATTACGTTATTTTTCGCGTGATAATATAATATTATGCGCAATACAAGATGTTATAAACAACTGTTTGATAGATCATCATGGTTTCACAAATTGGTCCAAGTACGACGCGTTCGACAAACAATACAAGCAAATGGAATTTGAACTGAAAACAGTGTTTAGTAATTCATTGAAAGTTTGTATTTTAATAAATATCGGTAGCCGAGAAGTTTGTTTTAAATATCTGTAACGTAGTAATAACACAGAGATGACGAAATTAATATTTGTATAAGGATAGTAAACTAGTCAAATATGGCCTTTGCGTTTTTAGTTAGATGTGTCCGTTTTAATTTTATCCACTCTGTGCTGTTGTAAACCTATTACAGAGATATTGTTATTTTGTCAAACGGTAATAATGATAAACATAATAATAAATGATCATAATGTTTTCAATTGGCAGCTCATTGATATATTTGGCAAATCATTTGAAACCGTACTGGATCTGTGCCTCGAACAAGTTTTATATCAAAAACCATTGGCTGCGCCGTTTATTCCAAGAATAGTTCTCATAGGTCCAATTGGCTCTAGACGGTTTTCCATAGCTAAATCGTTATCCGAAAAGCTCAAAATCGTCCATAGTACGTAACCAATCGTGATGTGTACACGGCTAGGCAATAACTGGTGCACACGCTGTTATTTCATTATATTTATACATGTTTTCAGTCGACGCCAATCAAATTTCTTCGCAGAAAATACTCGGACACTCAAAAATGGATAGTGTATTTTCTCGTGACAGCATACCTATAGAAACCATTTACGGTTGGATTAAAGTAGGTGTATGGTCTAACAATGCTGCTTTCCGTTTATTTAATAGCTACTTCGTCCCCTGTGCAGTCAAAGATTACCACGAACAAAGCTTGTTTGACTAGAGGATATGTATTGACTGGATTCCCTCGTTCTAGAAATGACTTGGAGTGGCTGGACTCAATCGAATTTCCACCCAATCGGTGAGCTATATATATTTGTATTTGCCCGAAATCAACACTCAAGTAGTACTCGGTCTGATCAGTTGTTAGACTGTCTGCCATACATGACACATTATGTACATACCTTAACTACGCTTAATCGGAGGTTGTAAACATTTTCACGCGTTATTTATTTGCTTCTATTATTTCGGACATAAATATTTACCAGCGGAAATAAAACCTTCAATCGCAAATCTTCCAGAATTTTCAATAAAGTTTCTACCTATTGGTACTAGGAACTAGGAGATTTTACAATTAGTAAATATTTTTATGGGGTTTTAACACAAATATCTGTATTAGCTAATTTTTGAAAGAATAAATTATGAACTTGATAATGAAAAGGAATAATGTTTGTTTTTTAGACGTCTTTAATGTTGATGTAAAAGTTTTTAGTATAACGTTTTCAGAATTATATTTCTGGGGATAGATTTGAAACAGCTGTTCGACCATTTGGAGAATAGATGCATCGATAAAAACACCGGGACTTTTATGAGCTTAGAGAAGGCCGCTAGAGATGTAAAAAAAGGCATTCTGAAATTAGATCAGCTACAAAGGCAACCCATGCAATTGGTCAAGCTATTCAACGAGTACAAAATGTACGGTGAACAACTAAAAGTTAGTGAGCGCGGATGTGTACATTTGGGTAATTTACATATAATGAAATACACAATTTACAGGACATGTTACATTACTGCGGTGACGACTGTTTCATAGTGTATGGCGACGGATCGTTATACGACCGGATAGTGCATTGCGTGATGTCTGGCAGTCCTGCCACGAAACACAGACCTCAAAACCGATTTTCGTCTCGACTGACGATGAATTTGTTCAAGAAAATGGCCATGTCCTATCGGGATATTTGCGAGACAAGGCACTTGTCGGAGGAAGCTCATAAGTTAGCGTTAGCGTTAGGTCAAAACTGTACGCAAATTGAATAATAAAACGTGCAATTGCATAACGCCTGTGGTTATTTATATTACCTTCCGATTTCGTTGGGGACTTTGACGCCGTACGGCGATGGTTCTGAGCCGTTGCCCACGAAGAAGTAAGCATCGGGTCCTAATCCGTCGTAATGTAAATTCGGTATGTAGAAAGTCCGGGCGTCCAAAATACTGATGTTACCTGACCGCAGTCCGTGCGCAAAACGTTTGAACTCGGGCAAAAGCCGAGGTTTAGGTGGATCTATAGTGTTTGGTATGTACACTTCGCCAAAGTTTACCTGAAAATCACAAACGGAAAACGTTACAAACATGTTTATTGTATATATCGACCATATGGAAAATAACAAAACTATAATAGAATTTATTATTATTATTTTTACAATGAAAGCTGCGTGTATTCTCAGCGTCGTCGTTACAGCATATAATAACTGATCCCTACGATTGGACGAATGGACACATCGACTATCCATTTTATCCAATGAGGACGTGTCTGGATATTTTTTAATAGTTTTTTTAACGGGAGAAGAAACTGGAGTAGTAGCCCGGGTAAGGTACAGGGTCGTCGACGAAAAACCCTATCTAAGGTCATCTGCTGGTAGGGAAATGTGTTAAACGTGACGAATAATATAATATATTTCAAAAGAGGGATAATCATTTATTATTACATAAGCTCTTCTCTTCTCCAACACTCACAAATCACAATTAAGTGTTAATTAAATAACGCGATGATGGAAACATTTTAACAAAACTAAACACGATTGTGCAAACTTGTTTTGTTAACTTATTTCTGTTTTAAGCAATACGCTATAATAAGCAATGTATATATGGAACAGCTGTAGTAATAATAAATGTATATTTATTCTAACATCAAAATTATGAAATATCTGGCTCTGGTTAGGTATTGCTACAGATAACTCAATTTCTTAAAAATATATACTTATGCTCGTTGTTTTCCAACAAACGAAATCTTCGCCATCGTATTCTTATTATTTACACTGTACTTTAAAAGTTATATCCTTTTTTAGTGACAACTTTGCTGAATTGTACATCCTACGAGATAATTAACAGTACAATACGCGAGAGCTCGAAAACCCTTTTTGACGCTCAAAACTTTTGCGTATTTTATTATCATTATTATTATTTTTTATTTAAGCTTCACGTTTCCCCTTTTTAATTCCCCAGACTCTTTTATTTAATCTTAGTCGTTTCAAGAGTCCACAGGGAAAAACATTGATTTATGAATTAAGAACAGCACGAAGGAAAACTTATTTTTGTCTGAGGCTTGGCTACTATGAATATATGATAATAATAAAAACAATAAAATGTTATATTATATACAGCACGAGTCTAAAGATTTTTTTAGAGATTTAATTAATTCATTAAAATCGAACTTATCCAATGTGTTTTGATTTAAAGGAAGTTGTTTTTCTACTCTCAAATATTGTGTAAAACGGTGTTTTTTTCACAACAGAAATCTCATTTTCACCGTGTCACATTATTGAACGGGTAATATTTTGGCTAGTTTAGGGAAACGGCTTATAGGCGCTGTATCGGGTACACGATCGAACATAGTTGTTATATATAAATTCAAGTACGTTATACAACGGCGATTTGACTCTTTGGAAACGGTTAAAATCCGAGTTTAAAAGGTCTATAATATCCAAAACGTTTTTGGGCTAATGCAACGTTACGGTTTTTGTGGTATTTCGACGAATTCGGATGTCGTTTACGCGAAGCCGCTGATATACGACAATAACATATAGGCCTACCCTTCAGCTTTCCTATCTCCGTCCAGCGTAAGTTGCTCCGGTGCAAAGCTCACATAAAGCCGACGGTTTTAAGGAAACGACGAGCAATAAAAAAATATATACATACATTTATCTGTCTATGTAAAAAAGAAGATCCGCAAGTGTTTATGTACATTATCATTGCTTCACACTCGGTGGTGAGCTTTAAAACGCTATCGACCGATCTGAAGACGGCTGTCAGGTATAGCGGCAACATGGTTTTTCGCTTTTGTATAATATGTAATTATTCCTAATTGCATCTGTACAGTATCTTAGGCAAACGGACCGTACTTATTGACTTTGGAACGGCGACTGGCGAGTAATTGCATTTTATTCTTTACACTTTTTCGCGGCCAAAGAGGGAAATCCACTAGTTGCAAAATCGTTAACGTCCCGTGGGACGTAACCAGATGGCCGTTAACCGAGAAGCCTGTAACCGTGATCGATGACCACACAAGCTGCCACACTTGAATAGGTGCTCGTTTTCCGGTAGGCTGCATAACAATGTTACTGAATGTGTACATTGTGTTACGTGTGTACTTTAAAAAAAAAATCGTGTCATAAATTACTTATTGGCGTAGAGAATAGAGTGTAAAAAAAAAAAATACTACTTTATTTTACAAGAACATTAATCAATCTACAAACAATTTATTAGTGTAAATAACTGCTGGGCTTGAAAGAAAACTACAAAATAATTCGCATGTGCATAACAGTGTTGTTTAATCATTTATTTTTAATTCGAATTCCCTTATTTATAAAAATAATAAAATATAGTTTGTAACCCGATTAGGCACAATATGTTCGATTGTAATTAATTTAATATAATATGTACTAGATGAAAACAAATAAGAAATGATAACTATGGGTTTAGAAAATATATAGATATAAAAAAGATATTTAAATGTATTAGATGTTCATATTTTGTAATGCGATTTGGTATACTCGATGCAATCTCGTGTTATCTTCACTAAAATAAATATACAAATATCGCACACCTAGATCAAAACTGTAGCAACTCAAAAAACACCTTTAAAAGTTTTAAACGGTTTTGATAGTTAGAATTATGGGATTAGTCATTATTACAAAAGGTACCTAAAGCGTCATATTTTGGAGAGTAATGAAGATAAATTAAGGTTTGTTTTGTTGGTTCATGCAACTTCGTTTGTAGAATGCGAATATACAAATAACTAAAAATACCCACTTTTTGAGTTGTTACAGTTTTGATCTAGATATGTACATTGTACACTATACAGTTATTTTATTAGTAAAAAAATGTAGTAATGATAGTTTTTTCCCAATTTTTTTCTTTGGTAACTGAAAAGTACAAATTGTACAATTGTGCGTTAAATATTCATAATTTCGATATTGTATAAATGAATTATTATTTAGTATTTATTTATAAAATGTAAATTAATTATGAGAGGACTACTTTATTTTGTAGCAAGCCGTTGCGTTCACACTATACATTTAATTTCGTTTATTCATTATAATGTACAGGTAACAAAGTCAGACGAGCTACTGGTGGTTTGTTCGTTATACATAGTTCATATGTCAGGACAAGCGTTGGACGGGCATGCCGCCAACAAGTGATCATTTTACCAAACCTATAACTCAAGTTTTGCGCAATTATATATACTTAAGGTCATTCGTGATTATTTTATGCTACACTTGTCCGAGTCTTGGCGAATATGAAAACCAAAAAGGTCCTACACCGGAGTACGTTATTATCAGAATATATTATTGTATTTCACAACCAGCTGCCACGAAATAGCCCTGACACGGGATGTACGTTGCCTACATATTGTATGTCATAATGATTATAATAGATCCATCTTTATGCGAGCCGAGAGCCAGAAGGAAACCGGTGCTTTTGCCGGAATGTTATTTCGAGCCATTAAATCGAAATGAACTTAATATCCGGACGATGACGCACGCGCCCCTCGGGCTGGCACCCGTGAAAACGACGATAATAATATAATCCACGGTCGCGCACAATGTTTTTTAATAATATCTCACAGACTGCCGACCCTATATTACTATTGTTATTTTCATATATATATATATTGAAAACGAAAGCGGGACACGGAACGGGCGCATCGCTGATCCGAAGGGTTGGACGAGGGATAAACCCTCGTGAAATGCCTTTTGACCCGCCGCCGAACGGTTTCAGTTAATTAGAACCAACAAATTATTAGCATATACTATTTTATACGCATGTTTATATTATATATTTTGCATAGATAGGTATTTGCATGCATACACCGCGACCGACACGGTTTTGAAGCGGAAAACGGCGGTCGAGGGAAAACGTTTAACGTTTAAATTCAGTGTCGCAGTTGTTACAAATAACTCTATTCGAACAGAATACTTTAATTCGAATAGAACATGAGAATTGCATCTACTATAACATAGTAATGTAGGAAATAGAAAACAATAATTGGTAGTACAAAAATTGTTGGAAATATTACTTAAACTGTAATAATAATGATAATTTATTGTCGACCTATTGAAAGTTGTGTTAAGCCGTATTCATACAAAGAAAATTAATAATAAAGTGATAGTTGAACTTTTTTTTTGATTCCAATAAAAATATTGTTTAGAAAATTTACAAAAAAACACTATTTGAATAATATTATTAGTAGTTTATTCGAATAATGCCCAACTTTGCTTACTATTAATTATGTACTATTTATTAAGTCCAAATAGTATAAAAAAAACCTAGGTAATATTTAAAACAGTATTTAAAATGTTGTTCCTTTGCATAGTTATTATAATTATAAGCTCAACTGTATAATCAAAATTCTTTTGAATGTACTTCTCTTAGGAAAGACCAAATGTAGTTATGCGAAAAATTAATTAGGTCAAACGTCATTTATTTTTCATGGGAATTAATTTTGATTTCAACGGCACATCGCGTTTTGCTTGACTCGGTATTTTTCTTAAAAACCCCGTTTTTCTCGAGAACTTATGCGAACTAATTATAATCCTTTAAAACAATTCAAGCTTTATGTTTCTGAGATTCGTCGGATAGGTATTAAAATAATCATTACGGGTCTAAACAATTTGCATACCATGAATAATAATATTTGAGTTTCACTCGGCGTTATTTATTGCATTATTGCAAGTAGTTTCAAGAACTAAATTTCATATTGTATGTTTTTAAACATTTTTAGTAAAAATATGCGTGCACTAAAATTCCATTCCTTTTGTCGACGATCAATATCCATTAAATTAATTTTCATCCCTGCAAATTCCTACTAAACATTATTATTATTTTGTATAATAATATTATGTTTTAGTAATAATAGGTTAGCTTCTTTTCGATTTACAGTTTATCATTAACAATTTATTTTATAGCGCTAATAAAACTTATACTCTTAAAAGTTTCATATTTCTTCACGACACTTTTCAAACATTTGTTAGGAATACTTAAAAAAAAGTAAAGAGTTTTCCATTATTTAGTTCATACTTTGACTAGAGTACTATATAATGCCGTAAAAAAAGTAATAACTCATGTATTTAAGAAAGTTAAAATTAAAAATATTGTACTTAAAATGCATTTGTGTAACTAATTTACCACATAGGAAACTTTTTTTTTTAAATCTACTACTGTACTAAAAAATATGTTACATAAGGATTATAGAATTTGATTAGTTTTAATTATTGGACGATCCATCGCTATCTCAAGTTGCCCACACAGTACCAGATGAAATTACAAAGTTTGCACGTCAAATCGAGACAAAATCAATCTTCATGAACAAAGTCAGTTATCACGTCAATCCAACAAAACTTTTGGGTACTTCAATGACGCAAGGCGTTACAACCGTTAAAATTTCTAACAACCGGATATCAGGTAAAGGCATAATATAATTGGTGTTGTAAATACTTTTGGTCGATTAAAAAAAGAAGCTTTTAGAAAGTTGCAAAAAAAGAAGAAAAAGAGTCAAACACTTGAAGAATTTTACACATTTTTAAAAAAAATATAATAATTATTATTACTATAGGTACAAACGGAAAAACATAATGTTGATGTTTGGTTTCAACTGAAGTTTGTTTGCATCAACTAGATTTTATAATTTTATAGCTGAACAATGGTTATTTCCTAATAATAATAGTTCTTTCAATTAGTTAATCAAGTAAAATTAAAATGCTTTAAGTTATCTTTCTATCTAATGGATATTAGATAGAAATATTATTTAGCGAGTACACCTATAAACTATTAAATGTCTCTGTCACTGATGCAACCAACAGTTAATACAAAAACATATTTTTTGTTGTGTAAATATTTCGATAAAACTTTAAAGATATCATTGTATAGGTTTTTTTTTATCGGATTTCGAAAAAAAGTGGGTAATGTGTTTAGGTATAATTTGGGATAACTGCGAGTTTTTTAATTAAGGTCGTTTACAACATTAAGGAAATACTTAAATAAATACATCCGTTTATTCGGTTACACGTGGTGAGACTCATTTGTATATTGTGTATATATATATATATATATATTTATATTGCTCGTATTCAATTAAATTGGCGAATAACAAGTGAGCCACCGCACAAATCTCGGCACGCCCAGAAGATTTGAATTTTGAGATTTTTTTTTTTCGTCCCATGAATAACAACAACGCGATACTTTAAATATACAGCATACCGTTTTCCTGTACCCCTCGACGAGCTTATATCTTTTTGGTCACCGGACCGGATCGGAATACAAAACACAACAGCTATATTATTATATGAGAGCGTCTCGCCCTCACAACCCGAGCAAGTCGACAACTGCAACCGTACATATTAAGTAGCAAGGCGGCGGCAGTTTATATTGTGACTCTGTGCTGTGCGCGATCATGTCGGGAGGAGAGCAATAAATCCAACGGTCGTCCCTGCATGCACACGTTACTAACACACCCCCGAAAACATGCAGAGGGTGTCAATTTAATTTCATATACCCGATAACAAGCGCCACCGTACACGACGATGTAATAATGAACCGTCGCCACCCCAACGCGTTCGCTTTAAGGACCGAATTTATATCTATAAACTTATTTTTCGTTCTCCTTTTACCCACACGAAAAGCGTTCCAATACATATATATATATATATATATCAATAGAGCACTGCCGGATATAGTTTACTTCCGAATGCCATAGATTTTTATTGGCCGTGTTGCAAACACACGACGAACGCTTGCATTTTTGACGGTAGTTTCCGCCACCGTGCAACAGACGTCCCTTTTATAGTAACTTTATTATTCGTTTACGCCGACCTCTATATTATTACATTATTATCACATTACCTACTCGAAATCTGAACCTCGACACCAGGTCAAAATAATAGTGGTATTATGTTTGTCGCTTGTCTGTAAACCACAACAATATAGCCGATCGTTTGGAAACAGCGGATAAGTAATTAAAAACTCAAGCGTTATAAAATATATTAAATTTATCATCAAACAACCGCAGCCGTAGTGAACATATTATACTATGATAAATGTCACACAACAGTAGACTTTCCTAGTCTATGAACTATAGCGCGTTAAACAGCTGTTTAATTTTTATTTTTATGTAGTAAAGAATGAAAAAAGACTTGCTATATTTTTTTTTTTTAAACTTTTTTTAAAAAATGCAGAAAAGTATTTTATAACTATTTTATACAAATAGTTATAAAACTAGTACCTTCTCAGCTTCGCATTGAAACTAAAAACTTAAGAAGTATTATTAAATATTTCGAAAAAGTCACAAAGAAAAGTTTTTTCTTAACAAATCAAGTCCGATCTTTTTATGCTATTTTGTCAGCATTTTAATATAAATATATTATACTTTATCTATTTAACTACATGATTTAATTTTAAATTAAACGGTGTTCAGCAGTAAACCGATACGAATTTTATCCATATGACTTTTAGAAAAACTTTTTCATCATAATAACTACATATTTTATTCAAATGATCCAGATTTGAACTTTTAAGAGACGTAAAAATGTTTATATTTAAATATTTTTTAAAAAATAAAATAAATGACCCGGTTTAGTTTTTATCTGTACCATGCTATGTGTATAACATCCAGTTATTAGCTCACTCATAAAATAGTAAATACTTTGTATTTATTTTATAAATAAAGTATTATTTGTGGAATATTTCCATGATACTCAATATTACAGTCTAACTTATTTGATAAATAATATATAAAAAAATTGTTTTATACTATTTATTTTGTCATCAAAACCATTATTGTATTGAAGGAATAAAGGTCGTAGCTCGAGGTTACACGAAGTGGTAGATATAATAAATAAAAAAATAATATTGAAGCTAAAATATATCAACGGCCGCATATAATAAAACATACACATATATATTATATATATAATAAAAAGACCGGTGACTTTTTTTTCATAAGCCTCATACTTTTATACCGTTTGTTTTGAAAATGCCGCGGTGAAAAGTATAATATTGATTTTACGTCACTCGTGCACCGGATAGACGGCAGTTTTCAGTCCCAACCATTACAGGCGGTGTGTGCAAGAGAGCGAGTTTTGTCGTCTTCGTCAGATCTAAGGCCTTTACTTGGGTAAAACGAAACAAAAAAAAATTCCGTACACGAAAGGTAAATGTGTCTGTTTGTGGGCCGAGAGACGGAGCAAAAAGTTTGTTTTTTGACACGGAAAATATCCATAAATTAAAGCATACGTCACAAGGATTACCATTATTTATATTATATATAACGATGAAATAATAATACAACTACCAGTTGGGCTTTTCGTTTACTAATTTACTTTTTTTTTTTTTAACTCAACTCCAAACTTTGTTCAGAATACTATTATTACGGTTTGGCGTATATATTTTGCAACTCTACGCGTTTCTCCCAATAGAGGAGCATAATCTAATAGTCTGTCAGGGGTTAGCGCGAACCGGCAATTTTCAAAGACAACCTTTTACGGAAATTGTGCGCTTCTCAATAGCACAGAAGAAAAACACGTTGACCATAATTATCGGTAAAGATTTGCAAAGTCACAAAATCGATTCTTACCGTAAACCGCCTGCACCACACGGACAGCCATTTAATGTCTTTGATGTGTTTGTTGGGAGGCAGACGCAAGAGGACGTTGGTGTTGTTGTGCGTCTGCAAAGGCGGTGGTTCCCTGGAAAAAAATATATAGTGTAACATTTTTGTTTTCTAATAAAAAATATATACAATTTACCGTTAACTTTTTATGTAAAACAAACGTGTACAATTTTAGTCGCCAACGTTGTTTGTAAGTATCGAATTACAGGACGGTGCGCGCCAACAACGCCGAATGGAACAACTCGGAAGGTACAAGTTTAAAAAATGTAATAAAAAAACGGGCGGGAAGAAACGATAGAAGGTGTCCTGTTGACGGGTCGGGTGGGCAACATATCCTGCACGTCATAGCCACCAAATCGAAGCTAAGAGGTCAGATCAACGGTCGTGGACTCTAACCCTCCGCCTACATTTTCGCGCCCTCGTATCTATTTTCTCCGTACGCGACTTTCCCGAAATTGCTCCCACGAGGTTATAAATATCCCTTAACCGACCAGTGAAAAATGATTCTTTCCCCGTAGCCAAACCGCGAACTCAAAGAGTATAATATTATATATTGTATTTTTCGAATCGTATACCCACACCCAAATTCCGAGAAACATTTACATAACTAACATTAAATTGCTTTGATATTGTCTGTAGGCGGTGAACGATAATAACGAGAAATATGCAAATAACACAACGTTCGGAGAATAAAAATTGTTCCAATAGTCCATATAGTGAACAACTATACACGTGCTTCAATCGAGCTGTCTCCAAGACCCGAGTTATGATAAAATGTCTCTGGTTTGTTTCAAATTGTATATTTATTCTCTAAAGTCTGATTTAAAAATATACTAAAACAGTTACACAAGCTAGTTTCTCGGACGAGTACCGGGTTCACCTATACAAACATTTTTGTCAGAGTAATTTTATGGAAAACACTTAGATAGTTGATGACACATTTTAGAATGCACGAAGACAGTAACTTTTATTCGAGAAGTGTTTGTACCGAGAAGCTCACATATTTTATGTTTTATAACACCATAGTCGCTAATATACAAATACTGTACTTTTATCAGTACCGATTAATATTGAATAGTGTTATGCACTTACACTGCCGGATAGTCTTCTGGGTATGGAATGATAAATCCATCCGGAGATGGTCTTGATGTTTTTCCGGCCCAAAAATACGCCGCTGTCAAGAAAAAAAAAACAAAAATAAAACGCCATTCGATAAATGAAATGCAATTTATTGAAAAAAATAAATTGTTAACTTGACTTACTTGGACCAATACCATCATAGTGGAATCCACGGATGAATAGTGTGCTTTCGTCAACAGCGTACACAGAACCTCGGATGCCATGGGCGACGCCGATCAGTTGGCCTATGTACCTTCCGTAGTTTGCATCAGACGTCCTTGCTTCACCTATAAAACATAAAATCACCATAACAATTGATTAATATAATACCAAGTTAGAGAAACCTCGATTTTAATATTGTATAAACTATAACTATGTGATCGGCCGTTACTAGAGTAAAATAGGGTAAGTGAAAAAACGAGATAAAAAATATGATTTTCCAACAAGGTTTTTAATATACATTTTTTAATATTTATTAAAAACAAGTAAAAGGCAAACTATTGTGTATTTACATATTACAATAATATTGATAGGATTATCTGGATTACATAAATCCGAATTATTCTAATTTATCATTAAAAAAAAACCTTGTTTCATTTAATGATGAAAAATTGAGTAATCCAGATTATGGATATTAAAAAAAGATTTAGAAGACAGTTGGTTAAATTCTTAAAAAAAACACATCGGATTTCAAATCTAGATTTTTAAGTAAGAAATCCAAAATCTGATAACTTGAATAACTGACTTTATTTAGTTATTTGGTAAGAGTTTGTAGTTCTGAATAGTTTATACAATTACAATCAGTTTTTGTAATTAATACTCTTTGCCTGCTACTTAGATGTCAATATTGTATACTTGAAAAAGGCATATTTAAAAAAAAAAGTCTTCGATACACAAGTTATGATACTTATGCTTTGTAAAATGTCTCCGAGCTAGTGACCTATTTACAGGGGGGGGGTGTGGTATAAGGAATAAATTCCCCTCCTTGATTTGTTTTCTTTATGTATTTCTTAATATAATTTTATTCAACCATATTCTAAGCACGCCTTCGCTTTGAACGGCGTAAGATTAATTTATAATATTGTATAGTTTATATTTAGTATAAGTATATGTACTTTATTATCCCTGAGAAGTTGCAGAATTGTGTATACTATATACTGCTTTACATGTTCACGACACGATAAGGTAAGACTTTTTTTTTTGAAAAACTTTATCATTTCTTGGCATCTAAATAACAATTAGTTAAACGCGATGGGTTTCAATGCGTCTCCTTGAGTACATATGTGCGAATACGGTTGTGATTAGTATCGATGACGTTTCAAGGCAAATATTGTTAATCGTTTTGGAGTAGCTAATCTCGCCAAACATATTATTATTATTTTACTCAAACGTGTCCGTGGGGTGCGACCGGAGTGTCTAATTAGATGCACTCCGCTGCTGGTTTCATCTTCATTACTCCATCTCAATCCCTTTTCTCGGCTAAAACGGCAATCGACGGTGTAAATCACCCGAACGGCGACAGTTGTGCTGCGCGATAATAATACTGACTTTCATCTTTGCATAGGCGTATATAAAGCTTGAACCGCTCCCAAAAGCCGTTTTCCTATTGCCGTCTTATCACAGTTAAGGAATAAGTTTAGAAGTGAATTATTACCGTGGTCCCTCGCAGCTCATTAATGCGTTTATATTTTATACCGTTAAAAACGCGACACGACCGTCGAAGCCGCCACGACAAAAGAATTCGAGCGAACCTTAAACGCAATGTTGATTAATGGCTTTACCGAGTAGGTATGAATAAACGGCGCTAAAAACTTCATTTAACTTTTGCAATATAGTTTTAATAATGCCCATACAAACTATATTATAATACTTATTATGTATAGTTTTCGGGAATGAATTTTAGGGACGAATATAGCAAGTGGACGCCCCGCTGAATAATTTTGGAGTAAAATGGTCCTTTCTAAATACTTCGAAATACTTCGAATAATAAACATAGATAAGTAAAATATAATAGTGTAATTGTTGAAATATGGTAAGTTTTGTTGGAGACAGATTATTAAAAAAATATAGTGCTTATAGTACATTAATAAATATTAGCGAATTGACACTTTTCTATAATTTTTTTCTCCATTCAAAATTTTTTTTTAAATTATATTTTCGGCAATTAGTTTCGAACAAAAAATTAAGTTAAACTTACTGGCTTTCAAACGGAATTAAGTTGTTCTTATATTATGACTACTAACCAAAGTATACTATTCAATATTCAATAAATAAAAGTAAACTAAATACAATGTACATACTCAATAAAACACAATATACAACATAATGATTTATTATGTTACAATTTAAACGGTGCATTTTTCATTCTATTCAATGGCAAATTTATAAATAATACTACCGCTAATTTACAATCACGAAAGCTGAAGATATTCATTTTATATGATGTACCGTATTATTATTACTGGAATGTCTTATTTTTATAGCATACGAAATGAAGGCTTGTATCGAAGTGGAAGTCTAACCGAGACATATTCGCACCACAACGATCGTCACAGTTAATTGTATTACTTGATGTATGTTTGAGCTCATTACAGGGCGATCTTCCCCCAATCGTCTGTCTCCCACTCGTTTTATTATTACCAGAAGGTTATTGTTTGTTTCTCTTCCGCAATCCCTCGCATAACGTCCTACCCACACGATTACAGCGGTAGCTGTTCACTAATAATAATAATGAAACCCTGTATCCTCTTTCTCCATAAACCGCATGCATAACATAAGCCCTGGTTCATCATTATCCCTTTTCGATTATACAAGGCAGAAAACCGCAATGCCGTGGATCTCTGTAATATACTCAGTATTGTATCATACCGTTTTCGGCGTTTCCCGCGGCCGAACAAAATCAAAACTAGAACGAAGCAGCCCATTAAGGCGGTCCTCAGCTGTTTAACATATACTTGCCTGTATTATTATAAGTATAACTTTATTTTTGAAACGCATACCCCCTCCGCCACAATGTTGTTATTATCTTTAAAAAAAAATTAGGTACACCAATTTTAAGCTAAATTAAAAGAAGAGAATACTTGTCGCATCACATGCGAAATACTTATTGTTATTAAACTGCGTCACAAAATTATATAAGTTAAAAAAAGTTTTTACTACACTATTTTTTAAACTAAAATTATGTTATTAAGGAAACACAATTATTCCTATAATTATCGAAATCAGAATCTATATATTTTTGTAAAACACTATGCCGCTAGGTACCTATTTCCAAGATGACTACACGGTGACATACCTAAGGTAATATGAATCTCCCTACGGCGTATCGCATTTGAAGGGGTGGCTGGAGCAACGTTGCATATGACCTTTTTGACAAAGTCTTTTTTTGGTGGAGCGACGTTCTTTGAAAACAACTGGATTGGAATATGTAAGAGTTAGATATAAAATATACCGATAAATAATGCAGAATGTGGTTGAACAGCCTCGTATCCTTTATCAGTTTATGGAGCAAAATATGAATAAAAATGCTCCCTTGTACAATTTTGTAGTTACTCCAGCTACCCCTTTATATGTAAACTACTTAACTGCCTATGTCACTATCCTTAGGGATTTGTATAATATATTATACAATGTACAGTTTAATACTTGGCGTGATCGCCTCTGTCAGGTAAAACATATTTAAACGCGTTAAAATTGTCATTATACGAGACGAATACAAAATGATGCGTTTGTTTTTAACATACTATATTATCTAAATAATTACCGTTTTTCTGTTTGGTGCCGGATATTTTATTATACTATTATTATTTGTTACCGCCTTGTCGGCGTTTACGGTTTCCGGACGTTAGCTAAACAAAAACCGCCGTTCCGCGCTGCTCCACCACCCCTTGAAATAATAAACGCACCGAGGACATGAAAAACAATTTCGGCCAATGCCGTATAATGACGTAATGGCGTGTGTTCGGCCGATAACCGGGACCAGATAGGGTTTTGTGTCGGTTAGGGGAGGTGGTGCAAGCGTCGTCGTTGTCAACCCTCGCAGAGAGATACGAAGATAGCGCGATGTGTTTGCACGGTCGGTCGCTGGATAGGGAGAAGGGTTGGGCGACGGTGGAGGATTTCCTTCTTTTCATCTTGTGAGTACACACACACAGAAAGAGCCTACGTGAATCTGCGGTCGGATTTCGCGTACAAAACTGAAACCGCCAACCGTTTTACCGATTTAATACAATAAGACGTGATTCTCGTTATTGCGCAAAAATATCTCGGCAAAAACCTCTATACACGTTTTTGAAAAAAATGTTTCTCTACTCCCGTGATTTATATACCTCTCTCTAGATCTGTTACGTGAGTAAGAACGCTAAAAAAAAAATATAAAACAATTTCACGTCTAAAGTCGATTGCTCTCAATAAGACATTACTGTATCAAAATATTTATATAATTACAATACGTCATTTAGAGTATTGGACTAATTGCCGCAGACGGTGGGTGATCAAATAAGTATTGATCAAACCAACAACTAAAGTAGCTAGTGTATAAACCTTGACTAATGGTGAATCCTCTGCTGGACTCGCATACAACAGTTCAAATGCATAGTTTAAGTGTACTGATTGCGGATCGAATGCAAAAGTTATCAAATATCACTATGAATAAATTATTATATCGTACTCAATCGTTTAGGGGTAGTTCCGACGCTACGTCTGTCATATCTACCCACTCGCTCCCCCCAGTAATAAACAAACGTGTAGAGGAGGGTTTTTTATCACTCAATAATAATCATAGCCGACTTGACAATTACACGCCCATCAACGCGTTTAACAAGCGAATTGTTTAGCCAATTCGTTTCGGTCAGACATTAAATGCTCTAAAAATATATTAACATACAGCTACCCTAGCAAAGTCGGGTAATATCTTATTACTAGTATTCCATCCTTTTGTAGTTATTGCAATTCATTTATCAATTAACAGCTCACCTTTGTCAAATTATGTCACCGTTGTGTTGAGATCAAAGAACAAGAGCTGTTGATTGTATGAATATTATGCAAATAATTATTATTGTTTAAAAAATAGAGATCACAAAAATTCCAGCGACAAAAAATAACGTTATTTTTAATGGAATATTTTGAAAATTCTAGCATGTTTGACAATGCTACTCTAAATTAAATGATTTATGCCAAAATAAGATTTTTTTAAAAATCATTGCAAAAGATTAGTGATTGCTATAATAGTTTTATAAAAAAAAAAATATTTGTTCAATAATCATTCTTGATAAGTATACATAAACTA